GGAATGTGCATGCTAATGTGTCTTTAAGGAAACTAAAGGCACTGGGAATGGTTGTACTGCCATCTCTCAGGTCTCCTTGTGTGTGTTTCTTGTGCTCTGAGAAAAATAGACTTACTACCACTGCTGAAATTCTGCATTTCTTCAAGAGTGCCTGGCACTGAGCAGCACATGGCTCATGTATAGATTTTCTGTACAATAATTGTGTTACAAAATCAAGCTAACAAATACAAATAGAGGTGACTTTCTGATAAAAAATTAACTTGAGGGCTTTTTTCTTCCACAAAACCAAATCTCTGGCCATTAACATTATCTGACTATGTGAATATGCAGGAAAGAAAGAATTTTGATGATTGGAAAAGATCTTATTCACATTAACCATTTTAACCATTAGTTATGTGAAGCTCTGCACACAAAACCAAATGGAAACATGTATTGTGGCTCTCATAATAAACAGTTTCATCAAAGGACATGAAGAAGACAAAAATACTTTTAGTAGGGGACTGTAGCCAAAGCAGCTTGTCATGACTTTAATATTTATGACTGTGTATAAGGATGATTTGGTGAATCTCTTTAAGTACAAAACTTTATGATGTCTACAGGTCATTAAGATGATATTATAACCTTCACAAAGCATACAGAGAATTATGATACATGGCAGGAAGTAGGCCCCAGATTCTAATGAAAAATTAGAGTATTATCAGATAAATTCTGCTATTAGAACTCAATAATTATGCACAGTTCATAAATTGTGACATCAGGTTTTAAATTAGGGCCAGAAAATTCTGAATAATATGTGGTTTCTGAGGTTAAAAATATAGGCAGAGCTAAATTTTAAAGCCATGGTTTAGTCATCAGGGGGGTTTAGTGACAGAGGGTATGAAAGTGGATGTTCTTGTCATTTCTAACTTGACATCTTTAAGGGTTTCTCCATTTTTCTGTGTTGAGATTTCTAGGTTGTTGATGTCTTTGATAAGTGTACCCTGCCCTAGCTCTGCTGGCTTCAGCCTTACTGTAGCTTGTACACCAGTTAAGAATAGTGCCCCTTTATGTGTCTTTCAAACAAACAGCTTTTGGTGAAAAAAGGGGCATCTTTACATGTTTGAACTTAATTTTTTCTCCATACAAAGACTCATCTTCCAAAAGTACTTTGAAGCTTTAAAAGTTTGTGACCTGTTTTTGAAAAGTATGGAGCAAACCACTATTCTCAGTGGGAATTGTGGATACTTTTTAGAAGCATAGGTCATTGGGTTTTGGTACAAGTTTTCCCATGGAAGCAGAAGGAACAAAGCTTTTCAAACTTCAAAACCACTTGTGGATAGTTCCTCTTTTTGTAGAATACAAATGCACGTGGCTGTCAATAGTAATTTTTTGGAAGCATTATTAAACTTATTTTATAGGATTCAAAGCATATTAGTCCATTTTTTTATACTCAAATAGCGGTTTTCTTCTTAAACTTACTATAAGCTTGGTAATTTCTTAAAAATAGACCTGTCTATTAGCATTCTTTCCTCTGAGAACTATAGAAATGACATCCTAAAGCAATAAGTTGAAGAAATTGCCTAGAAGGCATTTAAAAAGACATCACATTAAATGGCAAAATATTTAGGTGTTATTTTTCATTTGAAGGCAGAATGCCTTTATATTTTAGGCTTTTTTTTTTTTTTTGTATTGAGAAAACATCTGTCTAATTAAATACTTGCCTTTAAATGTTTATGCAACTTTTAGTAGATTAGAGGATGTATTGGCTCAGAATATATATAATCAATTCAATATACATGAATGAATATCGTATCAAGATAAAATGAGAACATCTCCAATTCCCAAGAAAAAATGTTATTGTGTGTGATATGACTGGTCCTAATTCTTCAAGCAGCAGTAAATAACAAACAGATGCTGTTGCCAGATTATAATTCTCAATTAGAACTGTAATTGTGCAGACTCCATGTTTCCTTGTCTGATCTGGGGAATTGAGTGGTATTAAGACTCAAGAAATCTCTTTTTGAAGCTGTTCATTCTCTGTGCAGTCATGGATAATTGAAAGAGATGTGTTTACCTATCATTAGCTAGCTTCTGTCTCAAGTCTCTATGAGAAACTCAGCTGTGGAATAATAAACTGCAGAAATTATTTCATCCCCTCTCCTTGAAAGAATCTCCAATACGGAATGACAAATTAACCCAGTTGCTCTTCTTTCCAAGTCACTGCTGGCTACTCTTGCACAGGAAGTGCATTCTTCTCTTAAGGTTGTTATTACTTTGTGACTCACAAGTGACAGTCAGTGGGTTCTGTGTTCATCTTTCTTTTTTGTCCCTTCATCCCTCCTCCACACTGTTTTATTTTCTTTCCCTCTCTGCTATCTCAGTGCCTACAGCTCCACCACAGAATGTGCAAGTCGAAGCTGTGAACTCGACAACCATCCAGTTCCTCTGGACCCCTCCACCCCAACAGTTCATCAATGGTATTAACCAAGGATACAAGGTAAATAGAAACAAGACTTCTGTAACTTCAAATAGCACTTGCCTTAATAGTCCTTGTGTGTAACAATTAGAAGTTGAATCTAATAATCTCTGAAACTCCAAAGTGACTGTATATCCTCAGGGGCATCTTACACAAGTAAAATGAAGTCAGAAGGGAGCAGTTGTTGCTCCTAACATTTGCAGTTTGTGTAAGTTCTGAAAAGGGAATATGTCATATCCCTAAGGTCCTAATATCTTTGTCATTTATCTGGAGAGTTTCCAAAGCCAAAACACTGTTCAATGTCAAACGGGTTGGAAAGTCAGATATATATTGTCGTGCCACTGAAAAATCAGCCTTGACATTTCTATTTACTCTAATGCAAAATTCCCATTAGTTTCATTAGAAACCAAGACATCACACTAAATATTTGTCTTAACTTTTCCACTGTGATAATTTGGGAGATATAAGAATGTAAAATTTATTAATCATGCTTGATGACATGGAGTTAGCATGACAAGTCCCTGTTGATGTGGCAACTGGCAGTATCTATTACTGTACGCAGAGCAGAGAGTGCTTAACAGAGCTCTTGTTGGTACTTTGACCAGTGGAGTGTATGCTGAGAAGGTAACTGGAGTGGTTTATTTCTGTCTCTCAGGAAGGACTGTTTAATAGAAACTCCTTTTCAGCAGTAGGGGCATAATAAATGAATAGTTTAAAAACATTCATGGAAAGAACAAAGAGGAATCTTTTAGGAATCACAGAGCAGGGAAAGGAAGGACAGGTATGGTTTAGGAGCAGGGAGGAGGAAAACTGACTTAGGTGTTAGGTGCAGGAATGTTGAGTGGGCTGAGAAGAATGTTCATAAGACAAGCTGTGAACTGGGGGATTGTAGGTGGATTTAAGAAGTTTCAGAAGACTTGATCCTTCTCTGAGCATGTCTCAAAGTGATGGAGAAACTGAGACAGAGGCATGCATAGGAGCTTTAGTATTTTTGCCCAGATCTCTTTATTTCTCATTAAATGGTTTCAGATTCCACTGCTGAAGTACTGTGTACATGTATAGAATCATAGTATCAAATACGTTGGAAACGACCTTTAAGATCATGTGTATGTCTGTTTTTCCCAGAGACAGAATCAGCTTTCAAGACTAGGTGACTGACAGGGCTGCAGTAGCGTATCCTGAAACCTCAACACAGAAGTAGTATTTGGCTCCTGTTCAGACTCTGGAGAATAACAGCAGTTTTGGGGCTTAGTGGACTGCAATGCACTATAATTTTCTGGTGCAAGTCCAAGCATGGTGAACCACTCAGATTTGAAAAAGTCATATTTCAGATTTTGATTCTTTGTTTAATTCAAATAGGGTTTCGGTCTAAAGATCCCTAGTCTCATTGCAGAGCTGCCTCTAATTTATGTTTCTGTTTCTTTAGCAATGGTATAACTAAAATCATGACTTTTATTTGTCAGTGGTCAATGAAAACGTTTGTAATGATCAAAATTTTCTTTCCTTGGATTTCCTTGCAGTAAATTGCAGCAGCTTTATCATTCCTGTTTCTCACAGGGATTGTGAACTGCAGTATGAAGACTGTCAGTTACTCCTGTAGCATAGTTTTTTGAATGGTTTATAAATCACTAGTAGTAGTCACATCTGGGCCTTCGCTTTTCTTAAGGATTAAACCCATTTTTTCCTTTAACTGGCAGAATTGTTCACCTGTATTTCCTGCACGTGTTTCCCAAAAAATGTGCAATGAAATGTACTCAAAAAAGAGCAGTTCAGATCCCCAGAGTTCTAAATGCCAACTGTAATCCACAAAGGTGATTTAGAAAAGAAAATAAAACTTACTATCCCATCAACCATTCTCTATTTCTATCTTTCTTTTGCAATTTATTTGCATTTCAAGAAGTTGTAAAGTGCACCTTTGCAAATATGAAATATCCCTAAGAAAATTCCTCCTTACAGTCCTCTCACTGCTTTCTCGTTATGGGAAACTATAGACATTGGCAAAACTGTCAACTCTGGCTCATTAATTTCAGGCATCTATTCACGTTTATGAGCTTGAAATCAATGCAAGTAGCACGATTTACACAGCCATTGAATAAGGCCTAGAATTTTAACAGACCACACCATAAGGATTTTTGGACCAAATAAAAATTTCATCAGCACTTTCAAGCTTTAGACCCTGAAGCTGTTGAGGCAATTTCAAAAATTGTTTTAAAATTTCAAAGTAATTTGTCAAAAATGAATTTTTTAAGCCCTCATTTAGGTACCTACGTATAAGGTACTCCACTCTAAAACATATCCATCACCCAGAAGATCAATGGAGATGAATGAAACCTTGAAGAACTGAGCACATCTGACAAGCATGTTATTTTAAATGCATGAAAATGTCTTCAGGAGTTGAACTTTTGGGACCCAGGTGTTGGAAATTGTAGTAATCATCTTTACAACCATTTTCTATTCTTTCTGTAGTTCCAGAACCACTTGAATCATTCACAGTGTAGATATCTCCAAACCACCCAGCACTGGAATACTCTTAGCCTGTTAGGCAAGGCTGGTCAATGGGATGCTGGGGGGGTACTGGGGGAGGGGAAGGAGGATGTGTGTCCCCCTCATCCCTCCAACTTCTCTAACTAGTGGGATCTTAAAGGAATCCCAAAAAAAGATAAAGCATTCATCTCAGAGTAGCACTGAAAGTATTTTGCTTGCTTCAGCTTCCTTTCAGCAGCAGAGCCTGTCCATGCTGGTCAGAGCAGCCCAGAGAAAGCCAAAAAGACTCATGTCATACAAATAATAATTTGCTATAACTTTGGCATTGATCAGTAGCAGAAATTGAGGATTGCAATACCTCCATGGTATCGATATGTCCCCCATCACTAGTATTACACACATCCCTCCAGTTCTCATAGTAACAGTGTTATATCCATCTGTTCAGCATCAGAGCTGACAGTAGTTTAACTGCATTGCTTGGTTTTTCACAATGAGATTAAGATGGGTTTGGCAGCCAAGCATGCTTTCATTCCAAATAGACACAACTTCTGATGAGAGCTCACCCATGTTTAAATTTTCTAGCTTCTAGCATGGCCAGTGGATGCTCCAGAGATTGTGACTATAGTCACCATTGCTCCGGATTTTCATGGTGTTCATAGTGGCTGCATCACCAACCTGAAGAAATATACTACTTACTATACATCAGTTCTGTGTTTCACCACCCCTGGCGATGGACCACGCAGCACACCCCAGCTCCTGCGTACCCTTGAAGACAGTGAGTACTCAGCACTCGTGGAGAATCTCAGTGCTCAGATTTTGTTTGCTTGGATATAAAAGCCAAAATATTCAAATCTGGGTGCTTAAAATTTGACCTCAGGTTCACAATCAGTTTGCAGTCTCTCGTCAACTTACTTTGCATAATGACCTCAACCAGTTCTCCAGTTATGTTTTTTAGCCTGTGGCAAATTAATGATATTTGATGTTTTTTCATTATGGATTAAATCTGGATGAATTTTTTACATTAGCTAGAAGCTGAAAGCTTCATAGTCTGTTTCAGCTAATACAGAACATGTCGTTTATGTCTGTGAACCCTTATGCTCTTAAATCCATGTTCAGGCACCCAAATAAATGTGAATTGATCTTTGGAACTGAGCACTGGAACTTCCTGCGGAGGTCAGTGGTTCATAAAATGGTTTGGGTTGGAAAGGACCTTAAAGACCATCTGTCTAGTTCCAACCCCCTGCCACAGGCAGGGACACCTTCTACTAGACCAGGCTGCTCAAAGGTCTATCCAGACTGGTCTTAACACTTCCAGGGGTGGGACAGCCACAGGTTTACAATTAATTTTCAGTTGTTTTCTTCTGTTATTCAATATATTGAAAATGTCTGTATTTATATTGTATTGCAATTGTTTGTATAAATGAACCAGAATTGTAACAAAGCAGTACCTTTCATTCTGCAAAACTGGAGTCAGAATGAAATAAAATGAGCTGGATAGTTCAGCATATAAATTATTCCTTGCATCAGAAAATGTTTTGGTCTGTGTGGCCCCTTGGAAGTGTTTGCTCAAGACACATTTGCAACTAACAAGTTTAGTGTGCATCTGATGCAGATAACAACTAAATTGCAGTGGCCCTCATAGGTAACCTTGTCCCCACAGTGATCTTGGCTCTGGCCAGTGCTTCTGTATCTTCCTGTCATGGAAACACTGCTGCACATTTACAGATCCAAATCAGAATAAAAAAAAAAGTCCAATAAATCTGTTAAAGTATTGGGTTTAGAAATCCTACTTTGCCCTAATAGGCATCTTTAAGGTTAGTCAGTGTTCCTGTAAAGAAAACTCTAGATTGTCATTACATTCATAGAAGTAAGGCTCAAAGTACTAATCCAGTTTTTCATGAGATATTCTTGAAAGAACATGAAGAAAATCAAATAATTCCCCATGGATTTTCATTTTGTGGTTGGTCTTCTCCATATGCCAGACCTGTGCCCCAAGAGCAGATTGTAGGCTTAAGCCTTTGCTTGTCAGAAGATCACAGAGATAGCAATTTACCTACCAGAAATCCATGTGAACCATGAATATGAACTCATACTTGTTTATCTGTGCTTAAAGCGAAAGGATGGAGAAATGGTATGATTCTGTGAGAAACATGCATTGCATTCTTGTGTGTAGTATTAACTTTTTTGCCTGTTTTCCTAAGGAAATGAAGCTTTTGTCTGTGAGGGTTTGTAAATATATTTGACTCTCTGTCTTGGGTTCATCTGTGTTTCTCCCTCAAACATTTGAAACCTGTGGCTAATTTCATTGAGTGCAGAAGAGTGAGAAACCAAAGATACGAGCTCCTAAGATTTTGTGAAAATCAATCAGCTGGGAAGAGGAAAGAGTCTATTAATGTTTCTACTGAAGGCAATGCTGCAGAAATGAGCCTGAAAGACTCTGCAGAAAGTGGGAAAAGGAGCACAGCCAAGACCCTGAGAGTATCTCAGAGAGATGTTGGGATCAAGTGCCATTTTAAACACAAGAAAATTTCATCATGAAACAGAAATCAAGAGAAAGCTAGACTTGTATTTTGTAAGGCATTTAAAACGTTTCTTGATACATGCAGTTGTGTGCTGCAAGGAGCCTCAGCAGTAAAGATGAGCAGTTTTCTTTTTTCCTTTTTAATCCTTCACAATTGCTTTCCTCAGTTTGCTTGGTGACAGAGAAGTTAAGTGCAGGATGGTATAATGCATCTTTGCAGAGAACTTGTTAAATCTAAGTTGCTTCAGGATTTATGTGGTGGGGAAAAAAGATTTGAAAGGACTGTCATTTGTGTTCTCAGGTGATAATGTCCTGTCTGCGTAGCAAAGTTAGCCAATCCTTTAGGAGAAAAACAGTGCCAACAGATCTGTTTGCTGATGAACTGTAGGTCAAATAAAATCTGACATCCAGTCAGAAGCATTGTGTCCTGGCTTGGAGTAACCTGCACCTGGTTTTCATTATGACATGAAAGTTGGACTGCAACTGCAGGAGCTAATTGGAGTAAAGCTTTGTGAGTTTGAGGCTTGCATGTCTGCAGATCCATAGTCTTGAATAGCACATAATTGCTGTGCTCTTGTTGGGTATTCCTGAGATCACTACCAGATCAGCACTTCTTTCTGTAATGCTTAGACTACTAGATACTGCAGAATGGATTTGGAAATTTTCCTCACTAGGATTGCAGAATTGCAAATGTGGTTCTAGCTGACCTACTGGCAGGCTTCGGGTTTTTTTATCATAGCTGAAGGGGAATGAGAAACTGGACTAAATTGAAGAGGAAACAAAATATGAAATTGCAGACGAGAAATTGCCAACTGATGTCAGAGGAGCTGGAGGATACTCGGGCAGGGATCCAATGACAGAAGCACAGTGAATATAAAGTGAACAAAAACTCCTTTTTCCAGTACATCGATTGAAGAGAGAACAGCAGTTGGATCAAAAATCAGTCAGGATGTCTTCCTTGAAGATCAAAATTGAGGGAGGATGGCATATTCTTGACAGTCATTCCATTTTATACTCTTTCATTGCACACTGGGGAGCTTGAAATTTTTAAGAGCTCTTGAGCTACATCATAAAAATCCTTTAAAAGTTTCACACGCTTGTGTTCATTTTCCAAAAGACAGTTGCCATTATGTTGGACTTTTTAGAGTTGTTTTGAGAGAACCTAGCCAAGCAGGGGCTCGGTGACTTTGTCATAGCTTTGACCTTGCAGAGGCAAAAGGCTCTTTCCAGGTGAGGGGGGTGCTGGTAATGATGCTATAGACCTAAGGCTAGATAAGCTACCACAGAGGCACAGGTAAATGCTGCATGCCATCGTTGAGGGAAAACAGCAAACACAAGCACTTCCAGGATTGCCAGCTTGATTGTTCTTATTAGGTTAGATCAAGAAGACAGACAGAGAACAAGTTGTGTGCAGGTCTCCTGCTGCCACTCTATTTAGTTCTCAGCACAGTTAGGGTGAAGACTGGATAAAATAATTTATGTGATGATAGCCAGAATGCTTCTTAACACCTTGTGTTCTCCCATCTTCCCTACTGCTTTCACAGATGTTTCCAGAAGGCTTCCCTTGGCCCTGGCTCAGTGTTTTACTTCTTCAGCCCTAACCTTGCCACATGAATCAGATCAAAAGTAAGTGGGGTTCTCCTGTTAACAGATTTCCTTTTCTGATTGCCAGAGCCAGGAGCAGTGGGACACCTGAGTTTTACTGAGATTCTGGACACATCTCTCAAGGTCAGCTGGCAAGAACCAGTAGAGAAAAATGGCATCATTACAGGCAAGTATCAGCTGCTATCTCCTGACTGTTTGTTTAAGTGTGTGTATGGTGGAATGTGCCATTACAGTGAAAAAATGTTTGTGTAATAGAGCATTTAGGGAGAACTGGCTACTGCAAGCACTGGTTTCCTGCTCCCTCTTTTTAGTAATTGAAATGTCAGTTAGGACACATTATAGAAAGTACGGGTCCAATTACTTTTACCTCATGATTGTGGTCACTGAAAAGGCAGTTCTGTATTAGAAATCAGCTCCCCATGGAGTTTCTGGTCTTGTTAAATCTTCCATGACCTCCACCTGTGTTACTGCATTTCTGAAACTTTGTGAGATAGTGTTTGGTGTTTGCCCCATGGGTGGAAGGTTCCTACATGGAGTTTACAGCTGCAAAATCTGGATTGGCATTGCTAAGATTTGCAATCAAGATCAAGCCTGAAATCAGCAGAATCCTTCATCTGTGATCGAGTGGTCTGGCTGTGGACTGCGTGACAGAATTTGCATGTCATTACTTAATTTTGTATACACCATCACAAGGGTTCAAACCTCTCTTGTTTCTCTTTGATGAGCTTGCCACTTAACAAACTCTTTATCTATTTACTCTACGCAAGTGTAGATATAACATCAGCAACTTCATTATTTTTAATAAAGGAAGCTAAAAATAGTTGAGAAAAACCCTAGTTCTTACCAGCAGAGGCAATACTGTTTTCACATGGGAAACCTGGAGCTGCACAGGATGGACATTCCATTGAACAAAGGCTTTCAAGGTTTTGAAGTACAAAAAAGCTCCCAATTTCAAATTACTGGAGTTAAAATTATAGTTCGAAAGGGAGAAGATAATTTCACATGAATCAAAATATTTTGCTTTTGAAGCATTGACATTGAAATGCTTCATTTAAAAAAAAAATAATTTATAAGAACAAAATATGATTTAGCAGTTAGACAAATATCAGACTTTCTGGCCCCTGAACATTGAAATGTTCTGTCAGTCTGATTTCCTGAAGCATTTTAACTTTGACAGGTCTAATTATTTTGGTAGGACTTGCGCTTGTCAGTGTTTTCTCTGTGCACCTGTAACATGCACCATTTGTATGTGTCTTCTGTGCTGCCTATAGTGTACGTGGAGCTTTCTGTAGATTACCTTATGCCTATATACCATGATAACCTCCCTGAAATATGCATTGATTTAAGTGGCTTGAGAACAGAAACTAATGACTTCTGAAAGCAGAGCAGTATTGATTCAGTAAAGACGGCCAAAGCCTTCAAGCCTGAGTGCTTAAATTTAGGTGCTTAAATCCAGCCTAGCTCTCTAAGTAAGATGATGTAACACTTATCCTTATTAAGCACAAGTTAGCAGCATTATGCTGGTGTTCCAGAATTGCTTTGCTAGAAACCAGCTGCTGCCTCCCAGTATGGGTTGAAACCTGGTGGAACACAATAATGGACTGTGTTATATTTGGGGCAGATTGTTTCAGAAAGAATGAACTGGAGAAGCTCTGTAGTTCATAAAGAAACACCGCTGTAAAAAAGCCCAGCAAAGTTTTTTAAGGAAAAAGAAATATCCTTAATGAGGCGAATTGCATTTGGGATAGAAGAAAAGAATAGAATCATAGAATAGTTAGGGTTGGAATAGCAATATTGTTCATGCTCTGAGTACCTGAAAGGTTTATAGAGGGCTGCTTGGAGACCTAATTGCTCCGGGAAGCAATTATTCATCATTTCTGCTCATTGATACCTTTACTGGACATTCTTATTCCTTGCACCAGAGCCATGAGGAGGAAAGCACAGAGGGTGGTGCCTGGCAGCTGCTCATGCTGGGAAATTGCCCATTACTCTGGCTGTAAATTTCAGTATCTTCCTCATTCTCTCGGTAAACATTGATTTATGAGGATCTGGATGCAGACGGACAGTTTGTGATTGGATGTGTTGCTCTCTTGTAGGGAATTTACTCCAGTTCAACAGAAAATTATTTCTGAAACTCCTCTGGTCATTAGTTTCTGTTAGGCAGCATCTTGTGGCGAGGGTGGAGTGCCAAAGCATACGGGAAGGCTCTGTGGCACCTCTCCTGTTCTCATTTACACTGAAGCCAGAGGAAACACTCTCAGCCGAGGCTGGGGGCTCCCCTGTGCACATTTCTGGCAGTGCTCACATGTGTAAGACAGAGAGCACATTTTTACCAACCACATGTCCTAAAGTCCTGCCCATCTGTCAGTCATTGTGGCTTAAGTGCTTCTTGGGGGTACAGTGGATGTTGTTCTTTCCCTTCAGCATTTTTTTTTTCTAGTTTTGCTATGCATGGTTACATTTGGCTTTGTGTCTGCTCTGTATGTATCTATTTTCTGTTTGCATTTTTTTTATATGACTAGAATTTAACTATACATTCAGGACTGAAATATCCAACAGTAAATGATGCCTCTTTTTGTTGTCTTCAATTTGCATATGAACTCAGGATATTTTTCTTGGTGAATATTTTCTCAGAAAATAAATACATAGGAAACTATGTGCCTAATGGGCAGGAAAGCTGGGTCTCATCCCTGTGGTCACAAGGGAGAAAACAAAATGTTCAAAGAATCATTGCGAACATTTGATGTATATCCAAAGCTTATCTTGACAGGAGAGAAGACATCTCAATCACTTAATATTGCCTAGTGCATGGTGGACAAAACTTTCTGTTGTTCATAAGCAACAAATGGATAAAGAGAGCACTGAAAATCCCCTGCTTATCTTCTTGTTATTTATTGCTTTGAGCAACCTGTTTTGTTTTATTCCGAGGTGTGGTACTCCTCAGTTCCCTCTACCAGCCCATGTGTAGAATTCAAAGCAGGCATAGCCAGGTCACCCGCAGCTCCTAGGCAGACAGATGAGCTGCAGCACGGCCCTTGCCCAGCTTCTGCTCCATCTGTGGCTGCACATGGACGTTCTGCTGTCTGGGAACAGAGCTGCTGGGTTTGTGTCCTCCGTTGGGAAGTGGGGAGGGGCACAGCTGCACCTTCCTCAGACTCCTCATTCTTCCACATTGCCCTGTCCGGAACAAACAGCACCCTCAGGTTCTGAAAGAAAGGGTGTAAGGTGGTGATGGTCATTCTGTTTGCAACTCCTTCATGCCTCTTCATTGAGCCTCAAACAGAGTGGACAGCCATCCCCCACCTTTCTGTTTGCTTTTTATTAAGAAAGGTAGTAAAGTCCTTGAATATTGTCAGAAACTTCATACGAACTATAGATTTGCCTGTGCTACATAAACTCTGACCACTGGTAAATGATTCTCAAGCCTTTTCAGAGAGCAACAGAATGCCCCAGTATCTCTGAGATACTGGTAAATTACTGACTTAATTAATTCCCATTCAGATATTTACTTAAAACTGGTTCCAAATGAGCATTCAGGAGTTTTTCCTTTTCCCCTAGCTAGAGCAAAGTCAGACAAGCGGTTGCGGTGAAGTATCACCTCTCTGTATCACTGCCCTCTACCTGAAACATAATTAGTGACTATGTGAGCACTCCGAGCCCATTTTTCATGCAAAATTAGGTTAACATGAATCCTTGTCAATGATGGCAGCTAGCTTAGAGTAAGGATAATAGCTCACACCTCTTAAACTCACAGAAATATTTGTCTCACCATGCTTTGAGTTCATGAGATGATGTTTCCTTGTTGATTAATGCCTTAAGGTATTTTGCTATGGCAATTTGTATATGTTAATCAGCTTGTCATGATATTTTTAAAGATAAAAAAACCCTTCAAGCCCCCCAACTGGGCCGAATTCCTCACCTTAGAGGATGGGAACAGGAACCCAGTAGGGGGTTTCTCTAGCCAGCTTGCCTCGTGCATGGTTCACTCAGTGGGGTTCCTTTCTGTTAGTCCTTTTCACTCACTTCCATTTCACAGGCATTCAGGAGCTGTGTTGTGGCTTTTCCCCCCTGAGTCAAATCACAAAGAAAGCTGCAATCAGACAAACTTTTCAGACAGGCTTTCTGGAGACTGGCACAGTGAGGTTCAAATGGGTTCAAATGAGAATAAACTGGGGCTGGGCAGGAGGAGGACAAGAAGATTTGGAGGTAAAATTGAGCAAATCAGCCAGTAGAAAGTTTCAAAAGTTCTTGGAAGGCAAATAGTTATAAAAGTGACAAAAAGGAAAGCCTGGTTATGAGAGAAGAATAATACGGAGGTCAGGGTGAGTCCGTTTTGGACAATACATGGGCTACACTCTGGATTTGAAAAAAAGGATAATGATTCACCCTGCTGAAGGATTTGTGCGAGGAACAAGCAGCGGGAAGTAGCGGTTTTTCAGTTCCTAGAAGATTCCCACAATGTTCCTGCCTGATTGTTATTGTCAGATTTGTAAGTATTTCTAGATATACAGCAGCAAAGGTTACTTCAGCCCAAAAGGAGAGTAGCCCTACTAAGCACATATAGATTTTTAATTAGATATTCCAACTGGTGAGAAGATGTTGTATTTTCCAGTGTTTCTTCCTATTTGTTTCACAGAGTTTCACAGAATGAGAGTCCACCCTTCTGAGAGATTATCTCCAGGTTTTCTAGCCAGTTCATAGCAAGCACTTTATCATCATAAAAAGAGACAGTCTGTTGAGACTCCATGTCCTCCCCAATCTGTAATCTGATGGGCAGATGATACCAGATGGGGTATCTACATCAATTGTGTATTTGAAGTAAGAAGATTAGAAAAAATAGTTGGGTATTTTAGCCAGTGTTTACTTCAACTTTTTTTTCTGCTTATAAAAGATGACCACAATGGAGTAGAGTAAAAAATAAGTCATACCAGCATGGACCGCAAGCAAATCTTGCAGATGAAGGAATTTACCAGTGTCTAGGTTATTGTGCAATTGTGCTTCGGAAGGAAAACTAGAGCCCACCGTTGCTGGGGCCCCCTGAATTCTTTGTGATTGCTTTTCAGGGTACCAGATCTCCTGGGAGGTGTATGGCAGGAATGAGTCTCGTTTTGCCCGCACACTGCCTAACACCACGCTGGAGTACAAGATCACAGGGCTGTCATCACTCACCACCTACACCATTGAGGTGGCAGCTGTGACTGCAAAAGGGAGCGGATGGGTCACGTCTTCCACCATCTCTTCTGGTGTGCCCCCAGGTTGGTGAAACTGCATGAATCAAGTTAAAATTGGGCTGTTCAGCCTGGAGAAGAGAAGCCACATGGAGACCTCAGAGCAGCTTTCACTATCTGAAGGGGGCCTAAAAGGATGCCAGAGAGGGGACTATTCATCAGGACTTTAGCGATAGGACAAGGGGTGATGGGTTTGAACTTAAACAGTGATTTAAGTTGGATATAAGAAAGAAACTCTTTATCATGAGAGTGGTAAGGCACTGGAACAGGCTGCCCAAGGAAGTTGTGAATGTTCCATCCCTGGCAGTGTTCAAGGCCAGGTTGGACAGAACCTTGGGCAACGGGGTATGGTGTGAGGTGTCCCTGCCCATGGCAGGGGGGTTGGAACAAGATGATCTTAGGGTCCTTTCCAACCCAGACCATTCTATGATTCTTCAAGTTTCTGTGTTCCAAGATCACAAATTACTTTGATTCAGTAATAATAGACATGGTTTTATTTATAAAGCATTGGAATTCCTTACACTAATTGCAGTTTCATTTTTAGAACAGATGAAAAAGTTAACGTGAATGAAGTTGCAATTTGAAATTACCAGGAAGTTGAAGCTGTCTAATACAAATCCAAAAAAAGTTACAGGGGTAGCAGAAGGAATGGACAAAGTAATAAAGTGGATACAATACAAAATCTCTTGACATTTACCAAGTTACATAAGAATGTACTTGAATCAATTGAAAAAGTGTTGCTCTGGGAGAAGAAGAGAGTTTGTGTAAGGGAAAGGTTTTTCCACTTCTATGTTGTATAACTTATGTCACCTGTGAGAGGTCAGTTGTATAAAGAAACTAAAATCTTATTTACAAGATTAGGGAGTTGTGGCCAAAGAAGGATTTAGGAGGAGGTTGACCTATGCTGCACTGAGATACCATTTGGGCACCTGTAAATTTAGCCTTTTTGCATTTTTGTTTTAACATTCTACACTCTCCCTCAACCAGTCTAGAAAGGAAACTGAAAAAGCCAATTCACACAAACAAGCAGTTTCAGTTAATGTATAGGTTATAGAAGTAGAATTTTCCAAAGTGGAGCAGTTACTGTACATCACTGAGGCTAATCCAGTTTTTACCTTTTCCAGTATTTTTGAACTTTTCTGTATGTCTTGAAGTATGTTTGCCTTTCTTCTCCCTAATCATAGGTAATTGTGACAAGCTGTAGACTGGATCAATGCCATGCTCCCTGTTGTTAGCCAGATAACAGCATTATCCTGCTTGGTCAGGGTTAGTTTATTGATTGTAGTTCCCACAAACTTGAAATAAGAATCAAGAAATATTGTGGATCTGTGCAGACTTGAAATATATGCCAAAAAGCTGCTTATATTTTACCTGTTTCATTTGCACATAGTGCAATTATGAATAATTACTGATAATTGGTAAGTAATTTCCATTACTTACCAATGCAGGTACTATTGGGAATTTATTCTAAACAATCTATATTTAATCTCTTTCCTAGGCTTGCTTTTGTTGATAATTCAGATAATATTAAAAATGTAAATGCTACTGTGAGCTTGACTGATGGGAAGGAAAGATCTGATTGAGGCTGCAGGTTCTTCCTTGTAGAAGGTCACCTTTTTTATCTGGAACAGAAATTAAACAACAACAACAACAAAATCTACTTTATTCAGGCATCAGAGATGCCCTCTAAACCCCATCTATGAGAAGCCAACATATGAATCACAAAATCTTCCCCATACACTACACAAAAATTTGAGTCTTATTCTGCTGTTAATACATCAAAGTTGTGTGTACTCTAAGAAGTAAGTAAAAATTATTATCATTTGATTCTGGAGAAACAAAAGCACAGTGGAATTAGATGACCTGGTGAGTGAGTGGCAGATCTGGAATTGGAAAGTACCTTCCTCCCTGAGCCACCACACTTTGTCAGTTGGGCAACTTCTCTAAAATAGTAGTAGTAATGCTGTAGATGGGCTCCTTATCTATGTGGTGCATGCTCAGAGCAGTAGAAATAGCAATGTTGTATGTAGTAGTCTACCAAAAAGAAAAAAACCCACAACTGTTTGCTCTGTTGTAATTGTTACCAAGGTATTTTATATGCTGAAACACTGAGTGTCGACTTGTGCTACTGGGCCCAAGACAAAGAGCTTTTCCACACTCATTTACATGTCTCTTTCTTCAGAACTTCCAGGTGCTCCATCCAACCTGGTGATTTCCAACATCAGCCCTCGCTCTGCCACGCTTCAGTTCCGGCCAGGGTATGATGGCAAAACCTCCATCTCCAAGTGGATAGTCGAAGGCCAGGTATGTCCCTAACAAAAAGCTCTTAATGAAGTTTCAGAAGGGTTGAAAAGGGTCTAAATAGTGAATTGCTGTGTGAGTTACAGGTTTCATTTAACTTTGGATCAGAGCTCTTCAGTAAATGTCCTGGTGGTAGTTCAGGGTGTCCTGGAAAGGTAGGAATGCAGGGGAGCTCAAGAGGCTTAGCTGAGAAATGTCTGTGTGGTAGCCAGTGACAAAAGGGTCATATGAATGCTGTAACCTCTGTTCAAAGGAACAAAAGAAAAGTATTTGGTATTTATATATTTATGTGAGAATGCTTATTCTTTAAATAAGCTTATGGATTTTTGTAAAGCAGCTTTAAGTTCAGAACAACATCAGATGCGTCATAGGCAACACATACAGCAGAACTTCAGTCCATCCATTTATTTAAAAAAGGATTTGAAACCTGTGTTTAAGTTCTGTTGGGTGGATTTTCAAACCAGATGGAAACCTGGAATTATTATCTCAGACAGGCAGAGGTATAGGAAGAATTGCATTGAACAGTAAAGATACCATTATTCATGAGACTGAGTGTATTTTTCTATCTTGTAATGAAATATACTAAGGTTTTCTATCCAGGCTTCTATATGAATAGGGTGAATTCTCTTCCTCATCAGCTTTAAACAATATCCCTCTTTCTGCTGTCATTATGCCTTGGAGGAGTTATATATTCCTCATTTGTTCTCCTGACAGATGAGCTTTGCTTCTTCATTGCCACCCACAGATCTTTATAAATAATATAATCTGTTTTTAAGACCAAATGTTGGACTTCTTAAATCATCATCGCCACTTCGACATGTTGATACAATCACTTTACTTGGTAATGAGATTGTTGTGAACAAGTTGGTACATTCTGTACCATTTACATACACATTGCATATAACAGAATCAAACACTGAAATCCTGTAATATGGTGGCTTGGCACATTCTGAGAAGCATTTTTGTGATGGATAAATTGTTAATTCTGTGAGTTTCAGAACACCACTGAAGTGAAATGAATGCTTTCAAACGGCAGTAATAATTCCTATTAAGTTCATCTGCATGTTTTTGAAGAGTCCCAGGTACGAATAGGGGTTGAAGGATTTTTGGTGTGCAGGGAGGGAAGGGAGGATCTTGTTCACAAACCCTCATCATCATCACATGCGTTGCTGGAAAAGTCAAGGGGTTAGTGCTTCTGATAGATCCCAGATCCAGGAATATTTGCTCCATTTGGGGAAGGAGCACAGCAAAATCTTTGTGGAACCTGGGCAGTTCTTTTCACCACAGCTACTCTGTTTCTCTGCACCAGACCTCATTAGCTTCGTCATAACAAGAAATGTTGTTCCAAGTGGATTTAATTAAGCAAACAAAAGAATAATCTTGCTCACATGATTAACAAAAATCTTTTCAGATATGCAGGTAAATTGGTGACTCCTTAAGGATATGGCAAATCTTGTTCCCAGCATGACAGCTGCATATAATCCCTTGTTCATAGCCCCTTTCTGTCAGCACTCAAACTCTCTTTCTCTCTTGAAGTGGCATTTCACAGCATCTTTAGCCAGTCTAAACCAGAACTCTGGTTGTTCTGCTCCCATTTCCTCTCCTCATCCTCATTACTCTTACAATGACTTTCTTACTCCTGCCTTCTGCACACACCAGTTCTGGTGTGATCATACTCAGAGCTGCTACAAGATTTGATCCTGCCAAGAACAAATGAGTTTCAAACAGTTCAACTCCATGCACAGGCTGTGTGTGATCAGAAGAGCACCATTACAAGGGGAGAGGATGAGAACATGGTAATGGGAGCAGAGATGAGGGTAAAAATGACATTGATCTAAGCTGCTTTGGACCTGCCCTCTGGACTTCACAGGTTTTCTCACCTGCCTTTCAAAGGCACACAAGCTTTCACGAAACAGCTGCAAATCACAACCCTGTGTTCACTTACGCCTTTCATGTAGTTTGTTCTAAGCAGTTAAATATCTGTGCTGGAATGCACACCTATATTTTAGTATAGACAACCATAGCTGTTCCTTAGACCACATGAGATTGAAGGGCAGTAGTTATACCCAAGCTACAACAATGTTTTCTAAACAGAATATAGAGAGGATTTTTTTTCCTTCTGGATCTTTCATTCACTGGCCCATGTACAGCTTTTAATAGCACTGTTAAGTGTCTCATGCCTTAGCATTAAATTAAAAGACGCTTAAGGTGCGGTTTCGCATACTGTGATTTTAAAACAGGTGGAATTGCCAAGCGTTAGGATCACACTTAACTGTAAAACACTAATCTAGATGTTCTACTTTGCAATTAATTAGTTGAATGAGCGAGTAAATAATCTATCCAAGCAGGTACAGGCACTACATCTCCATCCATTCACAAATTTTTTGACCATTAGCCTTTCTGAAAGCTTGCAACAAGGTGCAGAGTAGCTGAAAATAGCTAATAGCTTGGGGAAGAGTATGTTGCAGTTTACTAAGACCTTGTGCAGCACAATCTCTCCTGGAAAGAGAACTACATTGATCTTCCATATAGGTCTGTTCCCTCTGCGCTGTACTTCTGCTCTTGGTGGGTTCAAGATAAAGCATGACCAACAAATACCTGGTACTTCATCTCTGACGTTGACCTCTGACTTTGTGGCCAGGTGATAGCTTTGCATTGGACATTCCATATCTACTGTGTCTTCTCTTCCATGTCTAGTGGGAATACACTCTTCATTCCGAATGTCCAAGTCCTTACAGACAAACTTCAGCTATTTAATATTCACACACCCAAACAGCCTGCCACCAACATGTTTTTCTTTATGCCTTTATGTGGCATGAAACTTCCTTGATAAGGGCAGGTGTAGAAAATGTTTCAAGTGTTCCATTTTGGCTAAGTGCCATTTCTGAAGTCTGATACTTCATGAACAATTTGTATGAAAAACACAGCTGGGAATTGCAGATGACGTGAAATTTTGCACATCTGGCCTTGACTTCTGTTTTTTGTGCTGGGGTGTAAATTCACAGGAGCCACTGTGGAACTAATTCTCAATTATGTCAATGAGCACGAGGGGAGAATCAGGTCTTTAAGATCGTAGATACTGAAGTATCAAGTGTTAAAAAATCCTGTGTCTGTGTTTCCATTGAAGCTGCATTTTGTACTTCTGAAGAGATTTCTTAAACACTGGGCTGTTGTTTTTTTTCCATCTTTCAATCTAGACTCAGAGGAGTGGAGGAAACTGGCTTTCCAGAGGGCTAGAAAAATGTACCAATGCTATTTAAGGAAGATTTCTAACATTATTTTTCCATTACATACAGTATAATTTAAAGAGAAGAGGGTGTAATGTAATATAAAGATTCTGCTGAGACTTGTTCCTAGGGACCAGCAGCAACTGTCTTGTGGCATTGACACTCACGGGTAATGTGTTCATCCCCAAAGAATTCCAGTAAATCCTTCCAATCATCTTGTACTCTCAGATGCAGTTAGACTATATATTGCTGATATTTTTTCTGGCAATTTTCAGCCAAGCATGATTTCTGTTCATGTGGTTTCATGTTTGTAGTCTCTGTCTGCTGCAATCCAGTTTCAGCTTATTCTTCGCATGTTGGAATTTTCCTGGGGTTCTGTCAGAAGTGCATAAATAACATCATCATGACTGCCCCTTGGTGGGTGCTCTGTCCACAGCTTGGGCCTTTCCAGTGGCTGATTAGAAAAGCTGGGCTAACTTCTGCTGAATTTGGTGTGTTTTTTCTGGTGATTAATGTTACTGTGCAACCAGCAGAAGACATGTGGAATGGCTGAAGGTCACTTAGGAAGAGGTATTGCAAGTCATGAAGCCATGAGTATATGCGCTAATATAAAGTGGTTTTCCTTAAAGCCTTTCTGCTGTTTTTAGAGAGATTTTGTACGAATATCATGGTGAGCAGAAGCAGAAAGAAAACCTTTCAAGTATTGTCACTGTATTTGCTTGTAAAGCTGTGAGTTGGGAAAGACAATTGTAACTTTAACCATGAATTGATTTGGTTTGTGGGTTAAGTCAGTAACCCAGACAGGCTTCATCCATTGTACAAGGTGATGTCTCTTCATGTCTCTTGTTTTACTTTGGAGCTGGTAAATAAAGTGTCTGAAACTCTGACAATTTTATGCTTTTGCCAATCTTTAAATCAAAAATGGCTGAATCGATTTAAGGATTTTGTAAGTTAAAAAATGGCACCAGACTGACACCCCGTGAACCGGATTTCTCCCAAAGTGACTTCAAATTGTGAGTTATGGACCTCTAAAATGAAAACTCTGACATATCTTGAACTATAGTAGAACAGAGAGTACCTCTATAATGTGCAGAAACATTGTGTTTTCTTTCCTGCAGTTGGTACTTCATAATTGGTCCAAATTTTGGAGGCATTACAGTCTTATACAAAATACCACAGCAAATGAATTTTTCATTCCAAATTTTAATTGTTTTGGGTTTCTTTTAAGTCAAACGTCTGCAACTTTGCTCCTCTAGTGCTTTCCATGAGAAAATGGTGAGTCACTTTATGAAATATGTAATGTTTTCCTTTTTAGAGAAGCTAATGCATGGAGAAGTAAAGGGTTCTGCCATCACTCCCAGGGTTGTTTTATAGTGTCTCATTTCCGTAATAATAAATGAATATGCCCTTTTATTGAATGTAATGCCTTGGGAACAGCTGAGAGATGGGAATGGCTGTGTGCTAACTTGTGATGACTGATCATTATGGAGAGTTATATGAAGTGTCCCAGTGGACATAGGTGTTTTCATTGTGACAATCCTGGGGCCTCCTGGGGATTGTGGCCCTATCATACAGAGAACTGTGAAGATGCAGAGTGCATTTCTTAAGGAGTTTTAATGCCAACAGTAACAGAAAAGCAGTTGGTGTTCTTATCTGCCTCCTAAAACAACTCACACATGTGCATCTGTCAACAATCATGATCCTCTTCTGAAGTTCGCGTACAATGTTATCCAAAAAGCAGTTCCGAGAAAGAAGCCTCTGACTTTATTCTATGCAGAGCAGCTCATAGTGGACTCTCTTGCCCCTTAAAGGACTCTTTTATCCCTGCCACTGCCCATAGTTCTTTTTGCCCCATGGGAATCCCTTTGTACTCGGATTCTTGAAACTGATACGTTTCCTCTGATCTGACATCAGAGTGTTGCAGCAGAAATTCTCTTTTGATTGAAGAGCCTGAAATTGGAATCTACTATGGATCTTGTGGAAGTTAAAAATATAGAAGTATATCACTGAAGGTTCTTTTCTAAGACTCATTTCTCAGATTATTGCTATAAATGAAACTGATTTTGAGTAACATTGACCTACAATTGCTTGGCTATACAAGGCAGAGATCATGCAGAAGTCCTCAGGCTGTTCACCAAGCTGCCCTACATTCACCCTTCAATCCTCCCCACACAGGTAGCACTCTCTTAAAATACACTGCTGATTTCAATATGAGATCTAACCCGCTGAGTTAGTTTCCCAAATGCTGGCACCAGATCCTGGGAACATTACAAGGTATTATTCTAACTGAAGCAAGTTCCCAGCATATTTTTCTTAAGGTCTTTTGCTGAATCACAAAACTATGCCTGTGGTTGATTGTTTTGCTGCCTCTTCATCACTATGGTTTGGCAGAAAATGAATCTGAAAGCGGTTAATGGGGACTGTTGGTACTACCACTTTGCCCCAGGGTCTCCCACCTCCCAGTACTGGTATTGGCCAGCAGAGCTTGGGAACAACCAATGTGATGGGCTAGGTTGGCATCTGCCATTTCATCATAGGGTGCACCCATCATTCCTACCAGGAAGAGCATTCACAACCAGAAAGCGCTTTCCCGGAATAGCTTTCAAGGGGCTTGCCATAGTCCTGGACACATAGAAGCTTTTACTGCTTTTTAATCAGTAAAAGAACCTTAATCTTTCCACCTTTGCAGCCAGCTGGTGAATGTCTAGCTGCAAAACAGGCAGGGGGCTTTGGACACCTCTCAAGCTTGAGTCTATGTCAATTGTTCACAGCCCTGTGGGCCTCTGGGTCTGAACGATGTGGTCCATAATGGGTATTGATGACCTGCCTGCTGCTGCATGACAATTGGAACCTATGATTGGTTATTTGGGGGGTTTTTTTCATTTCTTTTTTTGATTTTTGCTGTGCAAGAAATACTTTAATAAGCTCTTACTGTTCTTAGAATGCAAAGGACAGCTACCTCACTACTGGAGATTATTTGCAGCCTCCAAAGCACTACGGATTATTGCTGTAGAATTACTGCAGCACTTCAAGGTGATGCTGTTAAGAACAAGGAGTTTTGCAAAAATAAGCATTTACTACAGACATTTTAAAGTATTAATCAAAAACTCCTTCAATAAGAAGTGTTTTCTGTTTCCTTCACTAAGATCAACCCTCGCTTCCTTTCTTTGTTCAGAATAGGGTGTTTTTAAAAATGCTCTTTATCATTTCTCTGTTCTCTGGGTTCGGTTTAGGGCTGTTCTGTTTCACTGTGCAGACCTGTCTCAAATTTACTAAAACTGATGGAGCTCAGTTGGGACTGGGAATTTTGAAAGGCTCATGATCTTCACTGACGTCTATTCTATATGTTTGGCGTATGGCAGTGTCCTTGATAACAAAGAAGACCAAAAGGCCCATCCAGACCTGTGCAGCCACATCCCTCCATGAAAGCAGTCCTTTGCTAAAAGATCACAGAGTCTTCTTTTCACAGTGCAATGCCGAACTTTTTTCTTTGACCTAATTTTCCTTGTGTCATTTCTTCATGCACAAACATAAATATGTAGCACATCAAGTCCTGGGTGAGCAAAGAACTAAAACATCTATAAATAAATCAGGCTGCTTCTCCTGAAGGGGGGGAAAAAGAGTGAATGAAACCTAATTTTTGATTTGAAGTACTGGGGGTATGTTAGATACTTTGGGCTATGTTGCCTGTCGAGTGCTTTGACAGTGTCTATGTCTGTAACTAGTATACTGAACTTGTAAGGGATCTGTTTAAAAAAGATTAAAGGAAATAGCTCTTTACACAGTGGGTTGTGAGCTTCTGGATTTGTTGCCACAGCAGCCTGTGGGAGCAGATAGTGTCACTAGGTTAAAAAAGGATTAGGCATCTTCATGGATAATAATAAGTCTGTAAATAGATGCTAAAGGGAGTAGCTGTCTATGTACCCTCTGGTATCCCTCAGCCTGTGATTATGGATACCAGGGCAGGTAGAGGGAGTTGCAGTGCAGGTACTGCCCTTTGTGGTAGGGTTGAAACACCAGCATAAATGTACATAGTGCTAGGGAATTCTCTTGGGGAGTCATGTTGAGGATCCCTTGTGTTTCAGCACTTAAGAAATCTCCAAAATGAAGCCCAGCTTCTACCACTTCTCTTCTGTCTCCTCCGCACTGCTGTGTGCTCTTACGCGCACAACCCTGCCTATTGATGCTGCCATAGCCCAGGGTCCCTGGTCAGACTCTGGTCTTTCTATCATGCCTTATTGACTTCCTTTTAAATCCTGATTCAACTTAATTTTATCTCTAGAAAGCTGTATGGAAAGTAATGCTCTCAAGTCTCATCGCCATTTTGCCCCTTTTAACACTGCTGTAGCCAAGGGACTGTGTTGGGCAACATGTTGTGATTAATTAATACAAAGGCTTGCACATGGAAAAATCTGATCTAAGTGCAGACCAGCAGATAAGGTTAAAACACTTTTGTTCTTTGACTTTGTTCTTCTTTCTCGATCTTCATTTCTGTGGCATTTTACCTCCATTGAGACTTGCTCAATATGCATCAATTCCTGCAGGTTATTAGCAAGGCTATTTTTTGTTTTCTTGTATTACTACCCAATACTTTTCTATTGTGGCAGTGAGATTGAACAGGGTATTAGTACTCTCACAGTGGTTTTCTGGAATAGATCTTATCAGAGGATCCCGGTGAAGTCCCAACAGGTACAAGGAAACCTGGCTAACTTGGTTGTAAATAGCTAGCTCCTTGTCATATATACTAGTAAGTAGATAATATGCATTTAGAAGCATTTGTCCTTTCACTGCTGTGATGACACACATTCTAAAAGAGGTTACATATATAATCATTTATCTATATATATTCTGCTTTGTATTCCTTCTGACCTTTCCATGTACAGGTTGGTGTACTGGGTGATGAAGAAGAGTGGGTGAGCCTTCGTGAGGTTGAGAATGAACCTGATGCTCAGGTGCTGGAGGTACCAAACCTTACTCCTTATACTCATTACAGGTAAGAACAGCAGGTGATTAGCTGCAGCATGAAAAAAAAAGAGTAAATAACAGCATGAAACAGCTTTCCTAATCAGAAACATCTGGTTGTGGTTTATATTCTAGACAAAAGGGAAAAGCTTTGCTGTTCTCACAGTTTATACTTAAAATTACTCGCCTGATACTGTTAATTGCAATTTACATACAGTACAGTTCATAATATTAGAAAGGAAATCTAAGTGCACAGTATAATGCTTTTATGCATAACTGATATCCTGTGGCTTCCCTTATCTAAAGGGTTACACACTAGTGTAACGTCAGTCAGTGACAAATCAATTGTGGTTAAACTGGTGCAAACGTGTAATTACATATTTACATCAGTTTAAACATCATTTTATTGATTTAGCTTGATTTGATAACATCAGTTAGATGAAACCTTTGTTTGTAAGAATTTACCAAGGTAAGCTTAATAGATATATGCAGTGCTTAAACTGATTGAAGTGAATCTACATTATGGGTGCACCTCAGTTAAACGAGATTGATTTCTAAATCAATTCAATTCAAGTGATATGTTGCTTTAATATAGACAAGATTTGAGAATTTGAGGTACTTAATCCTAATGGAAAATACTTTCATGAAATAATTTCATGAAATATCATGAAATAAGGTAAAGGCTATGGTTAAAAGGAGGTATAGTGGCAAGTGTTACATCATCTTACTGCAAATTTGCCCATTTCGTGCTGGCTCAAGGGCCTTTTAGCTTGCCCACATGCTGTTGTGAGCTAGTAGTAGGTGCAACCAAGTAAAGCTCATATAATTTGTAACTAATTCAGTGCTGGTACAATAATTTTCTTCCCTTTGTCAGCAGCATAGAATATGCAATTTCTCACAAACTCTCCACTGAAGTGGTTTTAAACCTCATCCTCAAGAGCTAAACATTTTACTAAAAGGTCTTTGAAAGTTTTTGAGTGTGAGCAGAGATTTCTGGTGCAGAGGTTTAGGAAAATGATCTTCGGGTTGAGATTTTCTTCTCGTAAGAGTGGATCCTTAAAGCTGAAAAGGCAAAGGTGAATAGTAAAGGGCAGTCGTACCAAAATTCAACAGTCAATGTCCATGCAAAATAAGCCAGACTTGCACACCCAGCAGGTGACGGAGAAATGACTTTGGGATAAAAAATAATAAGAAAGTGTATGAGGAATTTAGGGTGGTTGGGTTTTTATACTGTTAAACTTTTTGGTGTATTTTACTGCTGCATGTCATTTTGCTCTTGTATCCATTGAACTCTGGAGTGATCCCAGTTATGCTGGGAGCTTTCACATTTCCGCTTCTCTGATTCTTTTCATCGTAAATCAGCTCCTTGAATTTTGCCTGTTTCTTTCCCTCATGCATGCACAGCTATGAGCTTTTTTGACTTTCTTTCAGTGTAGAGCAGTTTTATATGATTTTTTTAAACCCAAAAATTGTTCCCAAATGGATTTGTTGTTCTCTGGTCAACTTTAGTCATTGCCCACTGAGGAAATACGTCACAAGCGCTAATTCTCAGACCACATCTTTATCAACCAGATTCTTTTCTATATATGGTGCCAATGTAAGGACAGTATTTGTTCAATGTGTTTCCTTTAATGCATTTTCTAGGGAGATCAGAGCAGATAAATAAACACTGCTGTATTGACTAGCTCGCCCTTTTCCCAGGCTCAGTCATTAGGTGCCAAACCGCTGTGTTTAGTGTGAACAGGTTGTATATGCATGTGCAAGCGCTGGATACCTGTCATTGCTTATGATGGGTGAGAGTATCTGAAATGTACAGCACGTCTTAATTATTTTGTGCTTCCTAACAAAAAGATTTCCCTAAATCTTTTGTGAGCCAGTAGGAATTTCTGTTGCAGAAAAGATCGTTTCAAGCAGACAGGGTATTTTTTTAAAGGTGCATATCCATATTAACTAACTTAATCTTTCTTGTGCAGGAAGGCTGAAAAAGCAGCACGGGGATAAATCAGCTTCTTTCAAACAGTAATTGAGGGGAAATGTTATCACTGGTGTATTTTTTATATTGACAGGGAATGAGAATATCTGAAGTTTGATATTTTAATACCTTTCTAAATGTATTGTACAAGCATTGCAAGAGAAAATCACTTACTGCTAGCATAAGCTCATCAGGCTTGCTATAATTAACATAAATTTCTCACACAAATACTGACATTTCTAATAGACCTTCAGCTAATCTCGTTTTCATTTTTTTTAATACCTGAGAGGATCTGAAAGCAGTTACCATAAAGCATTCAGCAGTGAATACAAAGGGGACCAGCACACAACGACCTTTGTGGAATATTTAGAAAGACCTAATTTGTACTTTTCCATCTTTTTTTTCTGGTTCTGGATAGAGAAGTACCATTCACTGAGCTGTTACAACACGCACTGCATCTTTCCTCCGCTCCAGGTTCCGGATGAGGCAGGTGAATGTGGTGGGCCCTAGCCCACTGAGCCAACCCTCCCGTGTCATCCAGACGCTGCAGGCCCCACCAGACATGGCCCCGGGGAGCGTCACCGCGCGCACGGCCAGCGAGACCAGCCTCCGGCTGAGATGGGTGGTGAGCTGGGCAGGGGAATGGGGGCAGAGGGGAGCCAGGGACTGGTGTTTGGGATGTGACTGCTTCCCCAGGGGGTCAGGC